GGATGGTCGGCTCCGTGCTAATGGAGGGCCTGTGGGCAACAGTGTAAACTTTTTTATTAGGGGTGCTTCCTCTTTAGCCGATGGAGAGCCCTTGGTACAAGAAGGATGACCTACAAAAAAAACTTAGGAACGGAGAACTCTTTGTCAAATGAGTGATGAACTAAGGTGGAAGGATAAGGTGGGAGTATTTTTAGTCTAATTTGTTCTACGCTCGTGGTCGACAATGGGCTTGGTGCTCTTCTTTAGTGGGTTTCTTTGCTTGTTGGATCCCCTTTGACTTCATCATTTGGCCTTTTTTTTGTGCGCTTGTGTTCTTCCTCTGGTATCCTGGCTAATGCATTTTGCAGATTGGTTGTTCCCTGGTCAGCGTCGATTTTCTCCTAACAACAGGTTGCCTTTACTGAGACTATAATCCAGAATGGAATTTTGATTTGCCACTTCCTATCAGACCGTTAAGTCAAATACGATAATGACCATCTTGAATCTGTTAATGAGAAAAATGGATATGCTTCCCCTGGCCTTGGCAGCTTCAAAACAAACACTATGGACAATCAATAGTAATTGCTGAAACACGCCTCTTCTAGTTAACAAGCACAAAAAACAAGGGGCAAAATGGTCTTTTCAGCTATCAAACTTAAGGGTCATTACATAGTCAACTACTCCCTTCGATACATATTAATTGTCGCTGGTTGATGCGAGTAATTGAATTGGTAAATCCATAACCACAACAAATTTTTAGTGGCATGTCTAGAGGGTGGAATTCCAATGCCATATCCAGAACTAGACAAAAATTTGTGGCAAAACAAGAATTTTCAAAAAAAAAAAAACTGTGAGCAAACTTGATAGTAATACTGAACTTAGTGCTGTAAAAGAACATTAAAACTGTGAGCAAAACTTCGTAGTAATACTGAACTTAGTGATGTAAAAGAACATTAAAACTGTGAGCAAAACTTCGTAGTAATACTGAACTTAGTGATGTAAAAGAACATTAGAGCATGAGAACTATTCTTAATGAAGAGTTAATTTCACCATTTTAGTTACTTTCATGTCTAATTCCACAAACGATGTATTTATTTGTGCCTTGCATGGCAATTTTAGGTGATTCTAGACTGAGTATGCTTGTCACTTCACTTGAACTGAGTATTTTAGTAGTGTCTGGTGCGATAATGTTGTGGTAGGTAGTTCTAGGGTGGATTAGAGTATAGGGAATGGTCCTGAGAGGTAGCCTGCTTACGTATATGTGGCCCATGTAGGTGATCAACTGTGAGGTCAAGAGGGCAACACAGTTGGGATAGAATCATTGTGGCTACCAATTATATTCGGGACTTGCCTCTAACAAACCAGCCAAGGAAACAAAATCGATGGAATTTCTGAAATTTCATGAAATTTTGATCGTTTCAACAGTGAGTGAAATATTGTGTTTCGTTTAAAACATTCGTTATTTTAAAATTGTTCTTATAAAGAACGGTGGAATTCTTTTTCTTACATAACCCTTGCATAACCCAGTGGCAGGTTCTGCTCTCATCCCATAGGTCTCTGGTTTTCGGAACCCATGAGTCCATATTTTTAAATTCTATTTCAATTTATGCGTGCTATAGGAAAATTTGTCCAAAAACTTGAGGTTGCCGAGAATCGATCCTGGGTCTCCGTAAGTCCATGTTAGGAACAACGGGATATATCAGCTTTTGTGTGATAGAGCTGCTACAACAGAAATATATCCAATTGTTTAAATTCAAATTTATTCAAATTTGAACATAAATTTTGTTGATTTGTTCGAAATAAATTTGGATATTTACGTAATTCTGGAATTTTTTATGGTTTCGAGGGTCAGCGAAATTTTCTTGCTGTCGAAATTGAAACCTTGAAACCAGTCTACCACTTACCCTTAACTTGATTCCAAAAGCTATTTGCGGGGTCTTGAAAATATGAAGGATACCTTACCATGTTGGAATGGAACTTTAGGCCACACGCCGCAATGTCTAGCTCAGCTTCTTGGAATGGGTTAGGCATAGCACATGCCCACGTCTGTTGCCTCTTGTGTGCGATGACCGTGTACCCCACGACTATACACACTGCTCCCTCGGCCACGTGCGCCTGGTTTGTGCAGACTAGATTTCTTCCCTTGTATCTCTATCATGTACGTGTATATACACACGCCCTATTGAACCGATACAAGGTACAAAGTGTTTCCATTGTTCTTGGGATCAAAGCTCTTTGTAGCCGCCCCCTTGGTGACATCATTGAAGCCATGACTAACATTCTCACCCCTATGCCTACTTCTCTACTTGGTACTCTCGCAGCCGTGCTTACGGGGGCCCAACACTATAGTCATCGCCAGCAACAATCATGCTACAATTTCTGCCGTGCCGAGGGTGCCGTCGATGCACCACATCATCATCATGCACTACATCAACTTCAAGCTTGATCCAGTGGTGGGCAACTACTCCAAGTGGCGTGACACTTCCACTTTATCCATTGCAAGTTCAACATGCAAGATAACATGTAGATCTTCAAACCCCGTCACGATAGTGCCGAATGGAGGGATGATGAGATCACCATTGTTATGTGGATCTATGCCACGATCACCCATGAGCTCTATGACGTTGTGTGGTCGACGGGCTAACACTGCCTACACCCCGTGGACTCGGCTAAGCACCTTCCATGACAACCAGTCAAGTTGCGCCATTCACACTAGTGCGCATTTTTGCGCCAATGTCCAAGGTGACATGGCGATTGCCGCCTACTGCTGCAAGCTCAAGAGCCTCGTCGACATCGGCAAGCCCGTCTCCGACAGATAGCTCACGCTTCAGATGTTTTGTGGTCTCAACCACCACTTCTAGATCATGGCCGCTCTCTTGCCATGCATGTCCACCTCCTTTCCACCTCCTGGCGTTTGTTTAGGCGCGATTTGACTCCTTGAAGAGTAGCCTTCGCTGAGTGTGAGTGCACCGAGGGCTAGCTGGTGCTTGTCACCGGCAATCAACCTTGGATGGGGGGTACTTCACATCATGGGGACAGCTCTCCCGCCACAGGTGAGTGCGCCATAGGTACCACTTGGTACCGCTGGCATTCTTGACTCCCGCCTTGGCACATAACAGCTGGCCTCCCCGATTGTGTCACCTACCATGCAGTCTCTTTAGGCATGGGACCAATACTCTATGCTGAGTGTCACCCTCAATGGAACTTCGACATGACCAGTTCTTGGATACCAGTCTTTCCACTTCGCGGGTAATGCAGATGACCTCCCCAGGTTCTCTATCTCTTGAGCGCATTCTCCTCATTACATCGTCCTATGTAACGACACTAAGATGCCCATCGTAGCTACTAGTTGGCTTTCCTCACCTCTCGACCATTTTTTTCGTAATGTTCTTGTTTCACCTTCGATCGTTAAGAACCTAATACTTGTTCCTCGTTTCACTCAAGATAACTTATGCACTATTGAATTTGACACCCTCGGTTTCTCTATGAAGGACTGAGCCACCAAGAAAATGCTGATAAGACCCAATGGGGACGGTGATTTGTACCCATTCTCCTCGAGGAATCACGCGACCCATGTTGCTCTATTTGTCACCAGCATTGGAAATTTATGGCATCACCGCCTTGGCCACCCAAACTATTGAATTTTTAAGTGGCCTATCGCATGAATTAAAAAATTGGTTGCACTGGGTAGCCGAGGTGGCGGTGCCATAAATCATTGGCGCTAGTGACAGAGCGGCATGGGTGGCGTTATTCCTTGGGAAGATCGGGTACAGCCAGTTGCTGCTATCTCATCAGCATTCTCCTGGTGGCTAGGTCCTTCATAGAGAAACCGAGAGGATCAAATTCAACACTGCATAAGTTATAACGGGTGAAACAATGAATAGAAATTAGGTTCTCAAAAGAAAAACGGGGACATTTTGAAGAGAAAATGGTCGAGAGACGAGGAAAGCCAAATCGGTAGCTATGGTGGGTATCTTAGTACAATTACCTATGATCATTTA